AAAAAAAAAAAAAAAAAAAAAAAAAGTATAGGTCTGTACAACACAGACTGAGTTTCTTTGCTGATCAGTTCCAGAGCCTTACCATGGTCTGTGAGATCTGGCTCCTGGCCAGCACTCCAGCCTCATTTTTTTCCCCCTTTCCTTCCTGTTCACTGCCTGTCCCTGTCACTGACCTCCTAACCGTTCACAAACATGCCAAACTATTTTCCCACCTCTGGACCTTTGCATGGGCCTGGAACATTCTTCCCACCCACACCACAAGGCTTGCTTACTGACTGCATTTTGCATTCTTCAAACATCACCCTCATGTTGCTCTCTTCCTTGCACACTTCATTAAAAATAACAGCTCCCTCCCACCCTTTCTCTTATACCATATAATTTTTTTTTTTTACCACTTCCTAACATATTTGCGTTTATTTATCTTCCTCCCCCGCAGTTTACGGGGAAATCTTTGCCTTGTTTGCAGCGTCTGAGATATCATAGGTGCTCAAGAATGATTGATGAATGAATGAACAAATCAGTCAGTTATATCCAATTGATATTATGAAAAATTCCAGCCAGGTGCAGTGGCTCATGCCTGTAATCCTAGCACTTTGGGAGGTCAAAGTGGGAGGATTGCTTGAGCCCAGGAGTTCAAGACCAGCCTGGGCAACATGGTGAGACTCCATCTCTACAAAAAATTTAAAAATTAGTCAGGCACGGTGGATTGCGCCTGTAGTCCCAGCTACCTCAAGTGGCTGAGGTAGGAGAAGTCCTTGAGCTGGGAGGTCGAGGCTGCAGTGAGCCATGGCCACACCAGTGTACTCCAGTCTGGGTAACAAAATGAGATCCTGTCTCAAAAAAGAGGAAGGAAGGGAGGAAGGGAGGATGGGAGGAAGGGAGGGAGGAAGGGAAAGAACGAGAGAGAAAGAGAAAGAAAGTTTGTTCTGACTGTATTCCTGTACCCTCATTATTCCCCACATCCCACCCACTGATCCATGATGCCACTTTTTAAAGTATGTTTAGAAGGGAGAATATTAGGTCTCACTCTCATCCCATAACCTTGCATATTGAATATGATGGACATAAAATACCATCTACCAGATGATGGAGTTGTAAAGACTGAAGGGGGTGATTCAGTAAAGAGCTTGGCAATGTATGTTGGGTCAACACCCAATAAACATTTTGTACATTTACTATTACTGTAATAGGAAGTGAAATTAAATCATTTGGAAGTCCAACAAAAGAGAATGTATCATTTGGAATAAATTAGGTTATGCTGCAGTAACAAACATCCCCCCAAATCTCAGGGGCTTGGAACACAAAGGTTTATTTCTTGCTCATGTTACATACACGGTGCAGGTTGTCAAAACGGGCCTTCTCATGTTAGTCACTGAGGGATCCAGGCTCAGAGAGCAACAGCCATCTTAAATATCATTGGTCACCATTCCAAAGAGAAGATGGGGAGTTCTGGAGGGTCTCACAGGTGCATTAATTGCTTCAGCTTAGAAGTGACACACATTGCTTCTGCTCACAATTCATTCACTGGAACTAGCCATGTGCCGCCCTCCAACCATAGAGGCCAGGAATTTCTACCTTACCATGTGCCTAAAAGAAACTATTAGCAGACAGCATGAAAGACTGTCATTGAAGGTAATCATAAATGTTGTTTCTTCTGTTTAGAAACATCTTTTTGAAAATATCAATCATTGGCATTCTTTGTTACTATTGGCTCAACACTGTGGCCCTGTCTGGTGAAGAGGTAAGATTCTATGCTTCTCTGCCCTAAGTTTGGTTTCTTAGCGTTTGACCAACAGGGAGGATATGGGTTTCTCAAGAACCATCACACTCCATATTTGGTATTAATTCCTTGTGGGAAGAGAATGGAAACTAATCTGGGAAGCAACATAAGGCAAAATGGGTCTCAACAAAAAAGCTCAGGTTCTGAAGTCAGGAGGATCTGATTTGAAGGCCAGCTGTGCTGTGTCATCTCCTGAATCACTTAATCTCTTTTAGCCTCAGTTTTCTCATCTGTAAAATTGGGATTAAGCAATATCATATGTGGTATAAGTACAGTGCCCAGCATATGCAATGGATGGTAGTAATTTTAGTGCTAGTCTGTTTTAACAGCCTTGGGGTTGAACAAAATCCTTTTTGATCCTTGATATTCTGTTTTTCCTGTAACCTAGATACCCTGGGCTTTACCGATCTATAAGCTCATAAATACTGGAAGTAAAAATTATGTCCTAATGCTGACTGTTCCTGGCTGTCCTTCACTTACCTACAGTTTTTAGTCGTCCCTAACATCAGAGAATGGGTGCCTGATGGCCTCATTCTGAGGACGGTGTCCTGTGTGGATTCAGGAACAAACCAACCTCTCTGGCCTTCTCATTGGGATGCCTCTGCCCCTGCTATTGCATCCCCCATGAGAATGTGCCTTCACATTGCACAATAATCCTTAGAGGATGGTCATCATGAGCCCTCAGATACCCAGGATGCCCTGGGGTCGGCAGTAGAGTCAAGGAATCAGGAGCCTGTCTCTATTTCTCCGTTACCCATTATTCCTGGGCCCCAAAATACCTCTGCTGGGTCTAGACTCAAACCATCTTACATGAACATGGCACCCTCAACTTATTTCCCTAATTGTCAAAGAGATTCAAAATCAGCCCTCCAAGTTAGGATGGTTAGAGCAGATACCATATTATTCTTCCATGCATTTATCCATTCATGCATCCATCTATCCATCCATCCCTCCATCATCTATTTATTCATCTATGCATATATTCATCCATCCATGTATTCATCTGTCCATTCATGTATCCATCTATCCATCCATTCATACATCCATCTACTTATCCTTTTATCCATCCATGTATGCATCCATTCATCCATTTATCCATCTATCCATACATATATTTATCTATCCATTCATTTATCCAACCATCCATCCCTTTAGTCATCCATGTATCCATTCATGCATGCATCCATCCAATTATCTATCAATTCATGTATTCATCCAGCCATCTATTCATCCATCTATGTATCCATCTATCCATTCATCCATCATCCATCCATTTACTCATCCATACATCCATTCATCCTTGGCCTGTGCACCCAAAATTTTTCTCTTCTCCTTCAGCCAAATCTAAAAGCTCCCAGTCTATCAGCGGATAGCACTGACTTCCTGCAGAGGTTCCTAGCCACTAGTTTTATAGATTATAACTAATTTGAGCTTCCAGTTTATACTAGCCTGCTAAACCTCTAGGCCACTTTCTTAAGCAGATATTGATTGATTTTATTGTAAGGTCAATAAGCAAAAAGAGTGAAGACCTGGCCACTGCACTCCAGCCTCGTCGACACTTCTTGGTCTCTTGAAGAAACTGATTGCCCCTGGCTGAGAAATGGGATCCAGAGGGGATAGGGCAGAGATGAAAAGTTTTAAGGGGAGAGATCATGAGCAGGGAAAGTTTGGGTATATGTGGAAGACAAGCTTTAAGGGGGAGAAGAAGGAAACCAAAAAGGGAATAACACCCCTGAAAACAAACTTGGCTGCATTTTTACAGAGTGGGTCTAGTTTTTTGCGTACACAAAGACTTGGGCAAACCAAATCATTTGCCATGTCCTAATGGGTACACAGAGCTAGGAACAGAGGAGAATTGAACTGAGGCCACAGCCCCTTCCCACATTCCGACTGTTGTTTGCCTTTCAGTGTTGGGAAACTCTAATTGGCCAGGAAATCTACCGGCTCCTTCTGATGGATTTTGTGTTCTCTTTAGCCGATTCCTTCCTGGGGGAGTTTTTGAGGAGGTAATTATTTGTCATTCTTAAGTAATTAGTGCCTGATGCTGTAACCAGAACCTGGTTTCTGGCTGAGGGGGATGTACAGATCCCTTACATACTCAAAGCATGCATTGTTCCAATTCTACCTGTTGTCCTTAGGGATACTGTTCTCCCCTACATTAGCTAAAATTTCCCCTTAACCTGACAATTCTGTTGTCATAGTTCACTTGGTTCAGTTGACCCTTTACAACCTTCTTTTGAAAACAAATTCTAGAAATAAAAGAAACGGAGCCATTTGAGATCTTATCCACCTGGGTACAGTGGCTCACGCCTGTAATCCCAGCACTTTGAGAAACTGAGATGGGAGGATCACTTGGGCCGGATGCTCAAGACTAGCCTGGGCAACATAGCAAGACTGTCTCTAAAAAAAAAGACATGTGCTATTATTATGCCTGGATCAAATGGTGTCAACATTTGTAAAGCAAAAACTACAGGGGATAGATATAAGAAGAAATTGAGTGAAACAAGCAAATCTTGTTGCCATGTGTGATAATAAAAAAAAAAAAAAAAAAAAATAAAAAAGAAAAAAAAAAAAAAAAAAAAAAAAAAAGAAAAAGGCAAAGAAAAAAAAAGAAATCTTATCCATTATGGATAATTTTAATACTATAGTATATATTCTTCCAGATTTTTCTATGCACACATTGCTCTGTGTGTGTGTTTACTATATAATATTATATAATTTTCAAAAGCAAAAATGGAGTCACACTGCATCATATTGTAGAATTTGCTTGAATTAATCTACCACTATGTCTTGACATCTTTCCATGTCAGTACATGTAGATTTATCTCATTGCTTTAATTGAATTAATGTGCTAATTTTATATTAGATACAATATATACAAAATTGAGGCATTGTCATTATGTCATGTCTGGTTTTTTAAATTTAGTAATTTATTTTTTAAATAATATGATAAACCTCTCATTCCTTATAGACATTTATGTATTTCTGTAAGCTGCTCTAGTAATAAGACGGTCTATCAGATAAGATGGTGTGATGATGATTACTTTCTAGTGGGTAGATTCAATGCCAAATTTCCTCCTTCATTTATGCCAAAATGTGCTTTTATTCTACCCTCTGTTGAGGGTCTGGACGTAAAGGTGAAAAGGTTTGGCTGGGTGCAATGGCTCATGCCTGTAATCCTAGCACTTTGGGAGGCTAAGGCAGGTGAATCACCTGAGGTCAGGAGTTCAAGAGCAGCCTGGCAATGTAGTGAAAGCCTGTCTCTACTAAAAATACAAAACTTAGCCAAGAGTGGTGGTGCATGCCTGTAATCCCAGCTACTTGAGAGGCTGAGGCAGGAAAATTGCTTGAACCCAGGAGGCAGAGGTTGCGGTGAGCCGAGTTTGTGCCATTGCACTTCAGCCTGGGTGACACAGCAAGACTCCATCCCCTCCCCTCCAAAAAAAGATGAAAAGATTTTTTTACTTTTTGACAGAACTTTTTTTTAATTGGCAACTCCTTTTATTAATAAATTAATATAGAATAAAGTTTCCCCAGAGTAAATGGTAACTTGGTTTCCTTCTTGTGGATTTAGAATACAGGAAAAAATAATTAATTTGATAGCAGCAACCAAACATTTAAAAATGTTTGAGTTGAGTTCTCAATTAAATATCTTTCAAATGTTTATTTGAAAGGTGCTGAGTTCATCTGGTTCATGAAAAAAAATGTTTAATTACCAAAGAGGGGTATAATATAATAGTGGGATAATTTAAATGTTCAGGGTAACAAATGTTCTCTAGAATTTTTTAAACTCCCACTTCACTGCATTTTGTTAAACCAGTTTTCCCTCAATCCTTCAATTACTTCTTCAAAAACATGTTTGTAGATTTAGAACTTTTGAAAAATTTGCGAGGGAACTTACGACTTTATTTCAAGCTGGTGAGGGTCTCTTCTGCTGTTTGTCCTAGTCTGTGGGGGATCTTTTGAAAGTGGGAGTTATGGTTTGGGTACTAAATTCAGTATGTCTTCACAGACTCATTGGGATGCAACTGATCAAAAGTCTTGGAGTCCAGGAGTTTGACATTGCCAGGAACGTTCTAGAACTCATCTATGCACAAACTCTGGTGTGGTAAGTTTTGTGACTCAGCAAAATGCCCAGTGGTTCCTATGTGACTGTGGGGTTGGTGTTTTGGTGGCAAAGCCCCAAAATCTGTTGTTTTTAAAGCTGCATGGGTGATACCCCATCCAGTCAGTCTGAGAACCATGAATTTAGCATTGAGACTATTATTTTCCTTTATGAGAGCTTAAGGACTTCAGACAAGAATCAGCATAGAGCAGGGATCTCAACCTGGAGGCCCACAGGTCGTGTCCAGCCCTGCAGGTGTGTTTTGTTTGCTCCAAAAATTTGAATTAACCACTGCTATAGTCTCAATGTTTGGGTCTCCCCGCAAATTCATATGTTGAAACTTAACTTCCTATGTGATGGAGGTAGGGTCTTTGGGAGGTGATCTGATCTTTGACATGGCTCTTAGGAATGGGATTAGTGCCCTTATAAACAAGGCCCAAGAGACCCCTTGCCCCTTCTACCATGTGGGGACATGGAGAGAAGGCAATATCTAGGAATCACTAAGCAGGGCCTCACCAGACACCAAATCTGCCGCACCTTGAACTTGGATTTCCTAACCCCCAGAACCATAAGAAATAAATTTCTGCTGTTTTATTTATTTATTTTTATTTTTTAGACAGCGCCTTACTCTGTCACCCAGGCTGGAGTGCAGTGGCGCGATCTCGGCTCACTGCAACCTCCGCCTCTCAGGTTCAAGCAATTCTCCTGCCTCAGTCTCCCAAGTAGCTGGGACTACCAGCGTGTGCCACCACGCCAGCCAATTTTTTGTGTTTTTAGTAGAGATAGGTTTCACCATGTTAGCCAGGGTGGTCTCGAACTGCTGACTTCAGGTGATCCGCTCACCTTGGCCTCCCAAAGTGCTGGGATTACAGTCATGAGCCACCACGCCTGGCCTCTGGTGTTTATAATCCACCCAGTTTATAACGTTTTGTTATAGCAGCCTGAATGGACTAAGACAACCACCCATATTTAAACTTCAGGAGAGTTCACATAACACTTAAATTTCTGGCTTCTCTCCAGAAAGATCTGTGGCAAACTGAGCTTCTCCAGTTTGCCACAGTCTCCACCTTTAACTGTTGTCTCCTAGCATTGATTTGCCATTTTTCATTGCCTTTAGGCTGTTAGTTTGCCTGCAAACTTTACATCCATGTCTCCACAGCAATGGGACAATAAACAGAGGCAGAGAGGGCTGTGTGTTTCTTATATCTGATGTACCATTTGGTGGGTTCTCTATAGTTTTTGGCCATTGAGAATAGCTAACTGGTTGCAGCAAATATTTTTACACACTCACCTGGAAACTGCAAACCAATAGTCAGGGGCTGTCTTTCCTTATTTATTTGTTTTTCTTTTCTTTCTTTCTTTCTTTTTTTTTTTTT